TTGTCCAAGAGATCACCCTAACTCTCCTTTACTCTTCTATTGACTGTAATTTTGGATGCCTTTATTCAATAATAGTGGCTCCTTAAATAGGAGATTACAAGAGTCCTGCTCTTAGGGAGACTCCTTGCTGAATARGGAGACCTCBAACTCTATCYTGATAAGATAAGACTGATAAGATAAGATAAGTCTCTCTTAATCCTAATCCTAATAAGATAAGATAATCTAATCTACTAACTTAATAAGATAAAATAAGAATAACAAGACAGTCTAATCTAATCTGCTGAATGGATAAGACTGTTGCTGCCGAGTTGGATAGGATGAGAACACCGGATCATTGCTGCTGCTTCTCCCAATACGCGTCCACATCATAAAACTAGGCTGCAATCACTAATTACCTAGTAGGACTAGTTAGGGATCTAATTGGGTCAGATTCGAATCACATCCAGCCACAGTCAAATCCAATCTAATTATCAAAGACTGAAATGTGAATCCATTTGGATTTAGGGATCTTGGTTCAGATTCATATCCTTCCAGACTTGAATCAGTTTCAGGTATAAATCAAGTCTGTTTTATATTTCATTAAAATAAAGAAAATAAAAACTAAAGAAAGTTAATTACTATAGATATGAAATATTGAATTTTTTATTGTAAATTATATATAATATAATTTACATATTATAAATTTAATTGGACTTGGACCTTAATTGGATAGGATGTTGGATTAAGTTTCAGATTTGGAGTCCATCTGTTGACAGCCCTAGGACTAGTTCATTTATAAGTAACTACAATCGTAAGGTAATTTAAATAATTGGATAATCCTAGTTTTAACATCTTAAGAAGTGAGAGGCATATTAGACATTTTAAGCAATTTGTACATCAATCAGAATTCTCACAGGCATGGCTAAATTATATATATATATATATTCATAGGGCATCTTAGTCTTTGATACATAAAACAGGTAGAATTTGATGTATCAGGATTCAGGAATCCAAAATCTAGAAAAGGAAGCATTGGACAACTATCCTTTTTTTTTCTGAACCAAGGTATTACTCTGATGTTTGTTCCTCTTTGAATGTTTTGGGAGATGAACTTGTTACTGTTGCAATACAAATTCCTGATGTGATTTCAGGTAAATGTAAGGTTGTAATTTCTTATTTTTTCCACAAGCACCATGTGGCAGCATGGTGGGGTTTCTTCAGCCTAAAGAGTCATGCTTTGAAGCCTTAGGGAAAAATTTCTTGTTATTTGCTCATGTCATGGATTTGGGCAGTGGATTAAAAACCCCACCAATGCCTGACAGCCCAGGACCGACTTAACTGCCACCTAACTATAAAAGGATCTCCCCTTCCACAGGAGGGTGACCAGGGGAAGACTGAAGATTGTAATTAGGTTTCTCTCATGTCATCCACCACTGTTTCAGTTTCCACCAGACCACCACCCCCTTCAGAAAAGATGGCTCCTTTTTTCGATCTCCCCCGTGGCCATTAAATGAGACTCAGAAAATGTTAGTTATTGGTACCAGACTGGAGATGTGCTTTGAAGACTGGTGAATTATGTCAGTGGAATTAAGGAAGTGCTGGCTGGGCTGAGGATACAGATTAGGGGTGGTTCCCTGGAGAACCGGATGCTCCAGAAGATAGCCTAGCAAAATCCAGGGTGCAGAGGGACATTTTCATATAGTGATGATAGCTCCATCTTGAGCAGTTTTTGTATTGTATTTGTTAACAGGTGTAATATATGTACTGTTCACAGACTTAGTACCCACAGCGGTATTTTTGTAATTCTGTAGACATATTGTTATGTACGACCAGAATAGTATAAATGCAAAGCTTCACTCGACTGAAGGCCTTAACTTTGTAGCCTCTTCTTCTTCTTCTTCTTCTTCTTCTTCTTCCTTCTTCTTCCCTTCTTCTTCTCCTTCTCCTTCTGCTCAACATGGTATCAGAGCAGGACTGTCCAGGCCTGGAAAACAACCAACTGAGGTCTCTCTCCACTGCTGCATAGAAGCTATAGTCCTGATGCTCGAAGACAAGGAGAGGAAGCATTCTCTAGTACTG